TTTGTTTGGAGATTTCAATTTTTTTTTGAAAAATTTGGCGTTGAAACTTGTTTTAGACAAATAAAAATTTAAATATAAATTCAATCCGAATTTAATTCCGATTTTTTGTGCACTACACTGCACTACAGCTGCTTTTAGTTTATTCAGAAATGCATCCACAGTAACGCAGATTCTTAATTTTTTTAATATTTTTTAGTAGCTTAGATAGTAGTTATTATTATTATTATTATTATACTGATGGTAACTGTAACCATCAGGTTATATTAGGAATTACGATTTTGATAATAGTAGTAATTAATTAAAATAATAACATTATTACTGATTACCATCATAATAGTAGTAGTTACCATCAAGAAGGTAAATACTACAATTCAGATGGTTTACTTAATTATTTAAATAATATTTACTACTATTGAATTTAGTTAATCGATTTTAACATAACTAGATAATAAACTCTACTATAAAATTTTCTCCGTGTTGCCAAGAATATTCCTAAATCAATTAGGAAAATTCTCGAGTCAACTAAAATTTAAGCTCGAGAATTTTTCTGTTGAATTTTAGACCGCGAAATTCTTAAGACAATTTTCTCAGGTCAATATTTTTCATGTTAACGATCAAGTTAATTTTTTTATCAATGTAGTCTTCAATTTATGTTATTGGACTTGAGGGCCTGAAGTAATGTCTACCGTGAATTGTAGCCAATCCGACGTAGCTCCAAGTCCAAAAATAAAGTATATATTATTAAAATAAAAATACACTTAGGAGGATCGTATATATAACACCTAACGAGTATAAAGCCGGGATGAAAACAATAAAAAAAAAATATATCTGAAGTATTCCACCTTCTGGGCTTGTATATTGAGACCTGACATTGGTTCTCTAATCATGGGTCCAAGTTGCCGAAGCTGGCGCCGTTTGGTTCAAGACACTTTACACACGGTGGGCGAAAAACGAAAAGGAAAAGGAAAAGGAACCGTGAAACTGGAACTAGTGGCTGAAGGCTTAGAACAGGAAGGAGGGTGAGAAGTCACTGGAAGAGGCTGGCTGGGAGGTGAATTCGCCATGTTGATTAGCGGATATCTTAATTACTGATTGGCTACGCGGACTAATTAAATCGTAACTCAATCAAGCCCCGAGGATTCTTTGGTGGAGAAATGAAAATAAAGAGCACCACCAGTAAAACAAAAACGTTCTGCAATATAGAATTAAATGAAAAAGGATTTAAAATAAAAATAAAACGATCAGTGAAATTAAAAGTGAGCTGCGTCCTCCTCATGAGTATCGCTATCTCATCCCTCTAAAGCTTCACATACACTCCCCCGATTATTTTTTATTCCACGAACCCACGCTGTAGCAGGATCTCTCTCTCTCTCTGCTGCCAGCGAATAAAAAGTATAATTAGCGGCACCTACCGCCGTCTTTAGGCGCTTCTGAATTTTTTAATACTTTTCTCCTCCTCGTGTTCCGTTTTATGATGAGTAAGACCTCAGAAAAGTTTTTTTTAATCATTTATTAAAAATTTATAAAAATATATTAGCGAGAGTTAATTTAAATTCAGGAAAATAATTTTTCCAATTTTTTGAAGATTAAAATATGAACGATAATTTTTTCCTTGTTTAATGAATTGAAAAATGTTAATAATTAATCAATTTTTGAAAAATAGTAAATTATCAACATTATTACGTTTAATTAAATAAAATTAATTATTTTAATGTTGCGGGAATTAACTGATAAAAGGCAATTTTCAGCATTTCTCAACAAATAAATTATTATAGAGAAAATGTATCAAAAAAATTCTACTTTTAATGTTGATGCAATTTTTTTTTAATATTAAAATTTGTTTTGTCAAGCTAAGGAAAATAGTCATATCAATTTTTAAAAGCTCTAAATAAGCATTTTGTAATTTCAATCAAATAAAAAAAAAGACCATTCGGCAGCCGAAATGGAAGTAGATTTCATCATGAATAGAAAAAAAATATAACGAGGATTGTATACAAAACTAGGGTTTCTAACTTCTATCCAATCGACAAAAATATATATCGACGGAAAAATTTTAAAACCAGTGCAATAGCAAATTTCATAATTGGCATAGCGGAATAGGACATAATTTTAAGACTACACATATGATATGGTACTCAAATTGAAGCTTATTTAAAGAGCTTTCAGATGCAATTTACAGAGATTCAATAAGTTATCCCATTCCAAATTTATTCGGGTTAAAAAGTGAAAAAATGTGAATTTTTATAATTTTGAAAATTTTTAAATCCTGGCATTTCTAAAAAATTTTACGACTACACATATGATATGGTACTCAAATTGAAGCTTATTTAAAGAGCTTTCAAATAGATTTTACAGAATTTCAATAGGTTATCCCATTCAAAAGTTATTCAAGTAAGAAAGTGAAGAAATATGAATTTTTATGATTTTCAAAATTTTGAAATCCTGGCATTTCTAAATTACTTGACCGATTAAGCTCATCTTCGAACTTGACTTTGGTATTTATCTGTAGAAAAAGTATGTGGAGTTTGGTAGAGATCCGTTGTAAATTGGCGACGCTATCGTCGTGACAAGCCGCGTTATATACACACGGAAAAAAGTAAACTGTAATAAATAACAGTCGATTTATAATAAGTAATGATCAACTGCTAAAAATTACCATTTCAAACAGTAAAATCGTGATTTTACTATTCACATTGTAATATTTATAATTTAAACGTTACAATTTATTCTTTACATGGAAGAAAATACTATTTCAAACAGTAATATTCGATGCGATGTGAATGTCTAAAATATTAAAGTATAATAATTAAGAATTCAGACTCTAATATTTATCATTTCGTACCTAAAAAATGATGTTATGATATGTAAAAAGTATAAAATAAAGTTAGTAAATTTCTAATACAAGCAACGTCAATATTTACAAAGTAAAATGGTAAATTTTAAACTCAACGCTAAAAATCAAACTGTAATTATTGACTTGCTTGGACTGGTAAAATGTATATTTTTACTGTTTCAAATGTTAAATTCTCCCAGAGTGAGACTCCCTTCTCTTTCATCTGAGTTCCCCTTCTCTTCATAATATGGACTATATATTGAAATGGCAATTTTTACTGTTTGAAACTGTAATTTTTAAAGATGAAAGAGTCGTTATTTACTATAGTGACAACTACTAATCACTTTTTTTGGATATTAAATTATAAATTTTGGCTTTTATACTTTCTACATTGTTCTGTAATATTTACATTTTTGCCACCCCGATGTCCGCTTTACTGTTTGAAACTATAAAAACTAACCGGAATCCGAGTGAATATTACAGTTTACTTTTATCCGTGCATATATAAACTTTTGAACCATATATGCATTTTCCGACTCAGCTCGACGAGTATAGTCGAAATATAGCAAAATTTTTTAAAAGTTCCATCATGAGGACCAATGCAATAGTTAGATTTCTATGAAATCTACTAAAAATGAAGAACTCACTTCTCGGAGTGAATTTCACTCTGGAGGGATTAAATTAATTGAATATCATTCACTTGGAAATTTTTTTTAACAGTTCAATTAAATCTGAATCTGATTTAGGCTTAGAGTCAAAGGTTCAGTATATATAGTCTTTCATGGTCGAAAAAACTCTCAAAAGCAAATTTACAAACTAGTCTTATTTTTTAAAAATTACAAAAATACTCATCATTATTTTACAAAAGATTTAAAAAAATCTTCAGTAAAACCGAATTTCCCTTTTGTCCAAATAATTCATCCACGACATTATTCGCGGTTTAGCGGTAAAATTTCCTCTGGCTATCTTGAATTGCTCAAGGAATAAAAGTATAAACCGAATAAGCATCAAGTAAAGAATTTGGTCGGCATAAGCATAAGCCGAAGCCGAGAAAGTCTAAAGGAATTATATCATTACCCTTTGGTGTATCTACCAGGGTTTGGGTTTATAAATTATGGCCTCAAGACGCGTCATCGCGATAATACAGAAAAATGGGCTTGAGTTATTGTTGCAGGCCTCAAACCCGGCAAAACTCTATTGCCAAACTGCAGTCTTCCGCATTGGACTCTGTTCTCTGGTCCTTGGTCCCTGAAAGAGTCCTAAAAAAAATATATACGTAATATAATAATGCTCCCGAGGAGATGAAGCCATACGCGGCGGGAGCTTTAGGCTCATTCGTTAGCTCAAATAATGAATCACCGGTAGAATCATGACGCTTGTGTCGCAGACATGAGTCCGCCTGTACGGAGCCAAACCGGTGTGAAACTTCTCAGACACCTTTGCTCACCGCAAACTTTATCATTTCGATATGATTAAGAAGTTAATAAAAAAAAAAAAAAGATAAAATAAGAAGACAGGAGTTGGCTGATTAATCTACTGGAATAAATAAAACAACATTTTTACCGGAATTATAATTGATCAATCATGCATACATGGTACCTTTATAAAGTATACTTTCTGACGTTATGTGAGGCGAGTTTATAAGCAAAGAACCAGTGTTTGTAAATGCTCGAATGCGTGATTCCAGAGTAGTTACTGCAGTGATTATCCAGTCCTTGAAAAACGAGTCCGTCGATTGAGATTCAGATAATTGTGATTGTGATTGTAATTATCATTACGATCATATGGTGATACTAGTGATGGTAATGACGATCATGATCCGAGGGATCGAGATAGGAGCTGAGCCAATACCAATATATTGTGATGTAGAAAAATTCGCCCACTTGTACCTGTCCCGCCTCGTTCATCAGGATTACTCTCAATCGAAACCCGGATTTTTATAAATTTATTCTCACTAGGTATTTATAGCAAGGCAATTTACATGCTTGTCCACGCGATCCTTTCGTTTTAACTACGCTGTTTATACTGGCTTGTTGATGGTACATCAACATATACCAATAAAACACCTCCTCGTCTAACACCCCATGAATTATAAGTTTTGATTTGTAAATATTGTTATTTGTAATTATAAGAATATTTATTTATTTATTTGGGTAATCAGTAGCATTCATTCTAATTGGTCTACAATCGACTTTTGGAGTTCGTAGATCGACTTGCAGGATTTCGTGGTCAGAATCTGCTCCTCTTCTGTGTACTGGTGCCGAATTAAGGACTGCACCCCGTTGCGGCCGACTATGCAGGGTAGTGACATGAAACAGTCCTTCTCGAGTCCATGTTTGCAGCCCTAAAATTATTTTATAATATAAATTATTGATTTTTTATTTTTAATGGAAAATTATCGAATTTTATTTATTTTTTTTTTTTTAATTGTAAGTTTTCAATTTTAGAGTCGATTGTAAGGTGAAAACAAATACTTTGGTCTGTTACATGAGCATCCCTACATAAAGAGATTCATCAGGCGATATTTAATGATTTATAATTTTGAGGTACAATATCGGATATTGATCATTCAAAAGAAACACGGTGAAAAAATGATATTAAATTTTGAAATTTATACTTCAAGCGAAGTTTTTGCAGCTTTTGATGTTGATAATTTTTTTATAAAAAAATTAAATCAAAATTTCAGGTTATCTAACAACAATTGAGTTAAAAGCATCAATTATTGACACTGAGAGACATGTCTGTTACAATTTTTTTAACATATTTAAGATTAAGATTGTTGAATTTTTGTGAAATTATTATAATTTTCGATATTACTTTGAATTTCATAATTTATTTTGACTGATGTCAATATCTGATTTTCTTGATTGTTCATAATTTATTTTTTTATTCTGTGGTAAATTTTACTTCATGTGTAGTTGTCCTTACCGCATTTTTTTTTTTGTGTGCATAAGAAAGTAAACGACTGTTATTAATCTTGTAGACAATTAAATAAATCTTACAATAGGGTGTCAATAGTTTAGTGCCTCTACTCTATGAATCTCGAACATTAATATAATATAATATAGTTTTTTTTTTTTTTATTAAAACATTGCTGACATAAAAAAAAATTATTTTTATGAGAAAAATAATCTGGATCATGATTACAGTGAGAAAAATAATATCGTTTGAAAAAAATGACCAATATTGTAATTGGAAATTAATTTATTGAATATTTTCAACAATTTTATTTTTTGTCACAACATTATCTAAAGATCGTATGAAAAAATAGCATGCAATTGTTATTAATAACGTCAACAGTAATTAAATCACTATCTAAATAGCTTGACCTTGTCAAGTTGAGGTTGAGAGCAATGTACTACCTGATACGTTTCACATTATGAGGCGTGTAATAAAATAGGTTGTAAATGATTGGTGCTTTACTTTACTCAGAAGAATAAAACCCATTTTAACAAAAACATTTTTGAAATTCTCCGATAATCACACCCTGTACTCCCATAACTCGGTCAACTTTAATGATTTAAACGTTTAATTTTTCCATACATTACATTGAACAATTTAAATATGTATGAAAATATGCAAGAATATGTAATTCTGAAACTCGTTACAGTCTATCCCACTGAAGAGGCATTGCTCGAGGCGTAATGTATGGTAAAAAATTCTAAAAAAGTAGTGTTAGTATATTTTTACAGCAATAATGACGCCAGTCATAATAATGAGTATAATAACAACAATAATAATGATAGTATACCTTGAGGAAAGTAGAAACAGTGAGGCACACGCAGGTGTTCCTAATGATCGCGTCAACAATTTCAGCAACACAGAGCCCTACTCCCCAACAACAGTAACCTTTTTTCCTTATTAAATCGTCAGTACTGCTAACGACTTTATTATGAAGTTCACTCCAGCCCTCAGGGTCGAACTTGCTCCCTATCTCTTTGTTTATGTCCTTCAATTTAATTCCCATGACAGACACCGCCGACCAGACTGCCACTAAAACATCAACACCAGAAACTCCGACAATTAAATTCTAACCGAACTTAAATCTCTTTGACTAGACGTCGCTGTCATTGTCGTATTATTAAAATAATTTATCACCAGATGTGGCTCCGTTTTCGCCGATAATCATCGCCTGGACGGAACTTGGGGCGATGCCAAGTTTTTGACTGATTAAACACTTGAACCTGCAGCTATCCAGCAAAGTTCCAAGACCGATCACGCGGCTTGGCGGGAACCCAGAGAGCTTCATCGCTACGTAAGACAGGACATCAACTGAAGAAAAATTAATTGATCACTTTTTAATCAACAATTAATTGAAAAGATTAAGCGACACCATTAGAGTAAAATTGAAAAAAAAAATCAATTTTTTTAAGATTTCCAATAGTTTATACTTTTAAAAGTAACATTCTAGATTTTTAAGCATGTATTTAGAATAGTTTTTGAACTACCATACACTTTGTTAAAGAAGCTGCTTGTCCTTCAAAAAGATTACTTTAATCTTTAAACGCGTTTTTCTCAAAACTAAATTTTTCAAATTTGCTGTAGTTTTAACTCGATAACAGATTAAAATAGATTTGATTTAAACAAAATTTTTTTAGGGCTTAATTTTCTATACACCAACCTTCAAGTATTTTAATTGAATAAAAATTTTAATTTTCGTATTAATAGAACAAAAACCGTCACATTTTTTAGCGAAATTTTCAACGCTCCGTCATTTTTTTAAATTAAAATTTTTTTTCTATTCTGAGTTATTATCGTAAATTAGAGGTTTTCTAGGTTAACATACTTTTTTAACTTCCCGCTTTGAAAATTAAAAATTTAATTTTCAAAAGTAGGAAGTTACAGATTTCGGTCCGATTTTGAGAATGCGAGTTTTTATGAGATCTCCACGTTTTGAGGTCCTAGGAAACCTGAACATCCGGCCGTGTGTGTTCGAAAGTCTTCATTGAGACGTTGAGCTGATTAGATTTTTAAATCAATCGGTCAAGCCGTTTCGGAGATATTCAGAAAATAAAAACCAAAAATAAATTTTTTTTACGTTTCTCCTATATAACTTTCAAAATATCCGACTAATTAACTCTAAACATCAGATACACTTGTTTGTACTTGAAAAACTGCGTTGAATGCTGCAAAGTAAGTGAAAATCGACCGAAGCGTTTAAAAAGTTATAGCTATTTAAAAATTTACAAATAATCGTTTTTTTGTCACAATTTTTGAATTTTTGAGCTTGAAGAGCTCACCAATAAACTAATTGGAAGATTTTCGAGCGTTTTAAGCTCGAAAAAAGGCGAGAAGTTCAGGGATGGTCTGCTGATTAACCGCTTTTCAGATTTTCTATTGATTTTGGGCACTGTGAAGGCTTCAATCACTGCAGTAGTGGGGCAACTTTTTTTTGGTTATTGGGGGGGATTCCCAATTATTGCGAGAATATTGAAGATTTTTATTTGAAAAAATTAGTTTGCTTACTTGAAATATAAGTCATTATTAATTGAAAATTTTAAAACAATCACTGCAATAATTTTCCTTTAAAAAATTTCTGAAAATTAGCGATTTTTTCAAAAGTCACTATAGCGGTACCTCTTAATTAATAAATCAAGTTTGTTCTTAATGAAATAACCTGGGCTAGAGACGACGACAAGGACACAATTGGGCGCAAACTTGCAGACGTTGGGAACAAGGGTTCTGAATATATCAAAGTTCTTCCTCAGCAATTCTTCTCGTGTCTGCTCAGGCTGTTGCCTAGCACCCGCGGCAATAACGCAGACAGCGGCATCCCTCGCGTTACTGTAATCTGACAGGTATATTACTGGTTATAACTTAATCTATCGAGAGTGTAGAGGAGAGTTGATCTTTGACCTCAGTTTCTATACTCGTTGAGGCTCACCTTTGGTCCCGTAGATCCTTGGGTTCCCCAGGAAAGAGCCCGCGTGGTTGATATCTTGGGCCTCTGCCCTCGCAAGACTCTCGTTTAAGTCTATCAGCACCAGTTCCGAAGCGATGCGCTGGAGAAAAGATGAGATAATTAAATCGACAGTTTTGTTAAAAAATAAAAATGTTTGTAGCTGATAAAAAAACCCATTATAAACCTTTTGTTTGAGTAATTACATTTTTTTTATATATCACCATGCAGTTAGAGGGAATTATTATTGATTTTTTAGTAAAAATTTTGACTATTGCTTGGATCTCATCCGGATTAAATCCGAATAATTCATAAAAACTCATTTTTTCCCACCATTTAGTCTACGATAAAAAAAAATAAATTTTCATTCAAGAGAAGAAATCTTGAACCAAGAAAATCATTGTAAGATTTTAATGGTCTGAAATCAAGTAAGAAAATCATTAATTTAAGAAATTCTTCGTGGTTAAAATAAATTTTACTTGATTCAAGAATTTCTCTGCTTGATTCAAAATCATCAAACTCTTCAAAACGATGATCTTTGTTCTATAAAATTTGTTTCTTAGATCAAGTTCATTTTTTATCAGTGTAGGCGAAAAAAAAACCAAAATTATTAATTAAATTTTGGAATATTCTTAATAAATGATTTTGATAAATTTCATCGTATTGTATCATCTTTTAAACGGAATTATAATTCTCAAGCTGTATATGAAATAATTAAACTAAAATTTTTAACAAATTCTGAAACCAAAATCACTATACAAATATTTAAAATACTAATAATTATAAATAAATTCTCATTTACACTTCTCATTTTTGAGCAAAAATTTATATTAAAAGTAGAAAAAAAAACTTTCTTCAAACCTCATCCAAATAATTCTCAATCACAAATTTTTTCTCACAATTAATATCACTCTACGATTTCCAACACAGCCTAACCAAGGAATTCGCGAGCATCAATTAGCCGTCAGTTTTGGACGTGCCAACATTTATTATCATTTCTGCTGTCGCGAGTCGAATATAATATAATCCACCATCGAAAGCTTTTTATCCCCGAAAATAATGACAGAGTAATAAAAGATGGACATAATATATACACAAAGACAAAGAGAATAAATAAAAATAAATAAATAAATTGGGACTCCGTCCAAGTACAGGACATTAACGAGTCGTTTAATGATGCCGGTCGATTGATCGACGTCCACCATCCAGCACCCAGGCGGTAATTTAATGCTGGATCATCAAACTCTTGATTATTTTCTCCCATCAGGCATCAGATTTTTAGCTGTGGTTTAAACAGGCGTCTTGCACCGAAAATGAAAGCCTTACCTCAAAAGTGTCCAGCACGGACCAGAACAGAAACAAGAACAAGAACTCACCTCTCCTTGGAACGGTAAGACGCGGCAGGTTGTCCTCAGCATACATTATATTTTATACTCTGTCGTCGTTCCGTTCACCAGCATACGAGTTCCACCGACGTGGACGTTTTCGTGAAGGTGCAACGCCACACGATAACTCATTCCTGAGTAATTACATGTCCGTGCTCTCAGCTCTCAGCCTGGCTTAAAGATTTGCTTTTGCTGGTATGGGTATAGTCCCAAATAAGTTTCAGTACACCAACACAAGACAAGATTCACCGCAAATAAAAGTAACCTGGGTGTTTAGCCAGTTTCGAGATACTCGAGAACTACAACATCACGCTGAAGGCTGAAGCACACCCGCTGGCTCTTGCTTCTGGGTGCTGGTTCTAAACCCCACCGCGATCGTTATATTACGTGTGTTTTAAGCTGCGAGCATCCCCCATCCTCCATTCATTACTATACAGAATCCGATCGAGTAAAACGAAAGAGAATATTCGGTAGCGGTTCTTGTAACGCGTCGTGCATTTTTACTTTACTTCATTTTTTATTACTTATTACTTATATTTATTTTATTCTCCTTCGATCAGCGGGAGCCGAGTCCATCTCTTGGTCGTTATGCTAACGAAAATCTCGGCGGCGCGGGATATAAATTCTCCTTGATTTTAAAATATCCCAACTTGTGTGTGATACTCATCGAGTTTAACATCTTCTTTATGAATATAGTAGTTTGCATCTTATATCGTTGCTGGTTGATGGTTGCGTGCTGAATTTTTTCACCTCTTTGTGCTCCATATTACACTGAAAATTTTTGGATATATAGACACTAACTTGAAATAAAAAACTGATTTTAAAGAAAAATTCTTAAATCAAGAAAATGATTTTGAAAACTTTCCAAAATAAAAGTTTCTTAACTTGGTTCAACAATTTTTTTACTTCTTTAGAGACGGTAAGATTTTTGAAAATTATTTTTTTTTGACTCATGATTCTGTCTTTTCAATCAAGTTAATTTGGATAACAGTGTAATTTTTGTTTGATGTAATTTTTTAAGTTTAAATTAATATTTTTGGTAAAAATTGAAAGATAAATTTATTTTCAATCAAAATTTTCTATTATTTTTTCATAATTTTTATTTTGAATAAAAATAAAAAAAAAAATTATTAAAAAACTAACGAAATTATTTTTTTGTTATAAATTTTTTTCTTTTTTTATTTTAAATATTTTATTCAGAATTTTAACTTCAAATTCCATCAAATAAATTTTATTCATAAAACTTCACAAAGAAAAAAAAATTTTGAATTCATACCTCAAAAATTAACTACCATAAACTTTGAATATTTTGACCATAAATCATGAACAAGGAGCATCAATTTCCATCCATACTTGAATTTAATGTAAACTTCAACAAACATATCTCCGTGGGCGCATTGTTGGGCTGGCAGGTAGGTCGGTACAGTAATTATTAACGGGTACTCTGACAAACCTGGTTGTAAACTCTCTTTCAAGAAGCGGCGAAGAGAACGGCGGCTCGTATGAACCAATGACACACGGTCGTTGTCGAGGTGACAGAACACGTTTATGCTCTTTTAGTGGATGATGTTGTCTAGTCGGACAGGTTACGTCGCACCTGAACAGTTCTTTATTTCTCAGTCGAGGAAAATTATCACAGGTAAACCTGCTCGGAGAATGTAAATACGAATATGAATGTCCGGGCTTGCATTGACAGGCTAGTGTTGGTGTTGGTGTTCGCGGAAGAGGTGGAGGTCGAGCTGGAGGAAGAGAACATCTAGGATGTAGAACACCTGCCGATGAGGATGTGGCTCGATAAGTTGGGGGTATTACAGAGTCGTGGCAATTGTAGAGCATCAGCCGGCCCTTTAATGACGGGCAGATATTTTTTGTAGACAGATACCGCCGTAAATTGGGTCCTGGGTACGGTAGTGGATTTGCGACTGTTCTTTCTGTTCTTGGAGAGTATTTACAAGTCGAAATTAGCTCGTAGGAAGATGAGGAACATGGACGATAAGATTTCTTGCAGGGAGTAGAGACATATTGATGGGAGACAGGAACTGACCGTACAAATTCTTTCGGAATGGAACATGGTCTTGAATTACTCCGAGGGGGGCTGTGATATGTTCGAGCTGGGCCAGGACATTTTTCCAAGGGCCGGTATCGCGGCTGGTAGACGTACTTGGTGACAATACTGTTGATTCTTTCCGAGAGGCTGGGCCGAGACTTGGTTCTGCTACAGTAACAGTTCATCGTAATCGAACGTTAAATTTTCATGAGAATTGTGAAGAGTCATTTTCTTGGTGGTTGAGTCACTTGAATTTATACAGATGCCATATGGCTGATTTTTAACCTAATTTCTGTCAATAACTTTGTTGACATGTTATTCTTTTATTTTGTTTGTTTGATTAACTTCACGCGGTTAATTGGTGAGCTCATTTGCAAATCTCGTAAGTTATGTTGAACATTAATATTTTAGAAGCATTAGAAATTAACCTTAATGATATTTAAATTTTATTGTACTGTGGGAACAATTTTGACATCAATTTTAAAATAGGGAAATTTATTCTTTGTATGATAGTTTATTATTATTATTTTACAATGTAAAAAATCGGGAGTGCATTTTCACTTCCATCACGCGGATTATCGGAGTTAAAAAGTTAAAAAATAAAATACTCCACGTATGGAGTAAATTTAGGAATTTTTTTTAATGAATATGGATTTTAAATGAAAAACATCTGAGTACGGAGTTTTTAGACTAAAATAATTTTCAATTTGGTAAAATAAGTTTTATATACCAAATTACTAACAAATACTTCAAATAATTATTTTAAACTTAAGTTAAGAAATATTAATTATTTTTTTCCAAAAAATTTGATTTTCGAACATTGAACCAAATTTTCATAAATATTATTTTGTTTTTGTTGATAAGTACTAAATGAAAATTAATAAATTATCAATATTACCATGTTTAATTAAATTACATTAACTGACATAGCAATTTTTTTGATTTTTAGATAAATAAATCATTATAGAGAAAATGTATCAAAAAATATTATACTTTTAGAAATTAAGAAATAATATTGATGCATCTTTTTTTTAATATTAAAATTTATTTATTATAAAAAGCTAAGGAAAAAGATTGTATCAATTTTTAAAAGTTCTAAATAGACATTTTGTAATTTTTAAACAAATAACAAATATTTTTTTATTATTATTAAAAAAAAGAAATTAAGAATTCATTCAGGGGCATTTTATTTTATTAATAATATACACAAAATCCTACTCAGATTGAATTTTATTTCAGAGAGTAATTAAAACAATTGAAAATCATCCACTCTACAAATTTTTTACAATGTATTATTATCATTATAAAAATTGTATAAAAAATTCTGTCTAAGCTAAGCAAACTCATAAAAAATTTTCATAATTTTTTTAAGACCATACTTCAATGTGCATATGAATACTTTTATATCATAAATCATAACATAGTTTAAATTAATTTTATAACACTTAATGTATAAGTATCAATTTTAAATCACCATCAATTAATATATTACCGTCTAAAAAATGAAGTTTTCATCAAGTATATAATCCATATAATATAAAATAAATCGTAAAATATTGTGAAAATAGATATTGTACAGCAAATATCCTGATATATTTATGTATATAGAATATTATCCACGTGGTCGTGACGTGCGGTTCCGGTAATGTCGCGGTGTATGAAAAGGCAATCCGTCGCAAGCGGATAATTTTGAGGTTTGCTTCCGCTCGGGGATCATTATTATATTGCACAAATGTCGAGAATATTATACAGACAATATAATATAGACAGTGAAAGCCAACGGATGCAGGGGTGGAGACATGTCATATGTGCATTCTCGTTTCTCGTTTGTATTTTTGCCAACCAGCAAACCTCATTTCAACATCAGCGCCGCAAAACACACACATCACATCATTATCACGACATGGTTCCCGATGTATTATATGTATATTTCGCTGAAACAACATATCAACATCAAAATTACCATCAACAGCTGTTATCAAAACAATATTTAAAATTAATAATATCTGTCATTATTAATCATAGAATTAAATCTAATACTTAAAAAACAATCTGCAAAACTGTTGATCCTACAGGCCATCCCTGGAACTTCCCACTATGTAAATTGTTTATTCCCGCACGGTAAATTATTTATTCCAAAGTTTTGAGCTCTTCGAGCTCAAAAATACAACTTTTATTTTTTTTCGAGCTCTTCAAGCTCAAAAGTTAGTGGTTGTAACAACATACTTCTTTGAAAATTCTAAATTGCGATATCCTTCGATCGAATCAATCGTTTTTATTGCGACTTGCAACATTTGTCGTAATTTTTTAAGCACAAGAAGATTATTTTTTACTTAGAATTTAAGGCTATGTTAAAAAAACACTTTTTTGGAATTTTTTAAAATTAAATATCTCTCGAACGATTTGACGGATCTTGATACAGTTTGCGGCAATCGACGCAGTTTTTTAAGTACAAAAAGATTATCTCATATTCACTAAGTAATCCGAAGAGAAATTTCGAAGTTATATAAAATAAAAACACTTTTTTCTAAATTTTTCGACGATTTCCCTCGAACGAATGAACCGATTTTGATGTGGTTTGCGACAATCAATGTTGTTTTTTTTTGAGATTAAGAGCTGATTTGTTTTTGGAATTGATTTATACAGTATTTAAACGTTATTTCCAAAAAATATTTTTTTGAACATTTTATTTTTGAAATTTCTCAAAATCTACTGAGCCGAATTGATTCAAACTCACGGAAAAGTGTCCGTTCAAAAGTGAACACACACACACACACACACATTTATTTATCAACAATATTTCAAAACAAAATCTTATAATTAACATTAACATAATTTATATTTTCAAACTTAAGCTCGAAATAAATTATTTAAAATATTTGTAACAACACTATAATAATTAGGCAGCATATAAAACTTGTTTCAGAAAAATTAAATTTTATTTTAATCTAAAAACTTCATACTCAGGTGTTTTCGGATTAAAATCGATATCCACCACTGAAAATTTACTCCCAATTTTTTACAGTGTATAGACTTCAATATCTTAAAAAAAAATTTAATAAGACAATTACAACCCAGATTTTAAAATTTTAAAATAACATTCTACTTTTCCGACAAAAAACGAAATAAAATAAAAATACCTTTCTTCACTTATAATTCCTTTAAAATCAATAAAATTGAACATAAAAAAGAAAGTTCTGATATAGAATAAAGATAAAAAAACGTGCCCAAAATAACTTCTATAACTCATTTGTTCATTTTGGTAATAAAACGAAAAAAAGAAAACCAAAGTTGATTAAAAAAAAAAAGTAATTGGAATAATTTATAACGTATAAAGAAACGACAACTGACACCGTAACTTGGCGTAGGGAACGAGTTGAATTTCGGTTGAGAAGCCCTCGGAGAGATAAGCGACGGGTATAGCATGGATTTCAGCTTCTCGTCGTCTCAAAACATAAATCAGTGGAAGAAAGAAGAGGCAAATGAAAGTAAAGGCCAAAGCAAAGTAAAGAGAAAAAGAGGAAGCAAGTGCGGGGGCGCTTGGACGACGTGTAAATGCTCGCCTTACCATCCGATAAGGACCTCCAGTGAAACAAGAAGCAGCATAGTCGACTCTCCAGTCTCCTACTATGCGGACTACAGATCCTCCTCATCCTCTTTTTCTCCTTAACCCAGCGTCCAATTCCACCCTCCGCTCATTAACATCACCATTTTGATCCGGTAGCTTCAAGGTCTCCTTCTGATTCTCAGCTGTATATTCCTTTTGCCTTTTTTTATTGTCTTATTCCCCTCCCTCGTCTTCGTCCTCCAACATCAACATCACCAGCAGCGAAAACATCAGCAACTCAAACGCAAACTATCAGGTAAATCGAGACCTGATGACTATCCAATCATTGGTTAGTCTTTATGGACCAGTAGAACAGGTACCCTCTCATATTTCTCGGCTTGCTTATTACAATACAGTTCTCGGCTTCGAGACTCAAGGTTTGATTGTTTATTTGAGAAATTTAAGAATTGGATTGTTTTTGGTTCATTTTATCCAAGAGATTAATTTTTTGCTGATTATTAATATTGAGAGAAATCGCTTCAGAAATTTCAAAAAATCAATTTTTTTTTATAGTTAAAAATCGACGACAAGTTTTTAATAGAAAAAAGTTGCAGCGATTGTTTTAAAATTTTTAATCCCACTGCTGCAATGATTGCGGTCTTCACAGTGCGCAAAATCAATAAAAAACAAAGTTTGTGAAACTAGCAGATATATCTTAAACAATGATTTACACTAGAAAAAAAATTAGAAAAATGGTTCACCCTAAAGGCCATCCGTGCAACTTCCCGCACATACAGACATAGTGACAACCTCGCGGGGATAGTCAGGGAAGCTTCCTGTGACCTTCAAACGTCGAGATCTGATGAAAACTCGATTTTTGTAAAACGGGGTGAAAACAATAACTTCCCGATTTTTGAAAATCTTCGATTTTCTTAGCGGGAAGTTAAAAATTGAAATTTTGAAAAATGGTGAACTTTTGAAAAGAAATTTTGCTACATGATGATGATTTTTGGCCTGCCAAGAGAAAATTTCTTGAACCAAAAAAGCTATTTTGAAATAGCTTCATCGTCTTGATTCAAGTAGAGAAATTTTTCTTAGTTTAAGTAAATCTCACTTGGTTCCAAAATTCATCTTTCGAAACAAGTTATTTTTTTATGTTATAATTTACCCAAAAACGTAAAAGATCGATTTTTTAAAAATTTACCACGATTTTTTTAAAACTTCAAAATGATATCATTATTTCTTAATTTATAAAAACATTACCATAATGATAAATAACTAATTTTGAACCATCTAAATGCATTTCCTCCCTTTTAAATGATGTTAGAATTTTTTGAGTTTAATGTGTTTCTTAAACCTCAGCCTCAAATTCATAAGCTTTCACCAATGAACCAACGATTAAGTTTCAATTACTTACGTTACACGAAACAGTAATCTTCTCGATTAACCGTGTTGGAATTGAATCACCAGAAAATCCCCAAACCTTTTCTATTTGTCGACACGTCGCGTCGTCGGTTGTAAGTTGTCAGTTATCAGTTGTCAGTGGAATAAACGTTGGGTCTTAGATATTTAGGTCAAGTCACGTCACGTGGGTGGGAAAATTTATTACTCGATAGCTTGTACTGTCCATAGTGTAGAGTAAGAGTAACATAGAGGGACTAAGACGAATGATGATGTCTCAGGATTACCGTACTATCGGTCTATCGATCTATCGTTTGAAATAATAGCCAACAATGGAGATCGGGGATATGATTAAAGTCGTAATATTATAACTTATAACTTATAACCATCTATATTCTATTCGATTATACTCTATAAGTATGGCCTAGCATAAAGAAGTCACTGGTTACGGAGGTTACGTATTATCATGCTCACATTATTATCGATATATATTGTATGATTTACAATGTAAATGATATTATATGTATTATATTATCTCTTATATTGGCAGTGGATGATTGAAGCAACCAACCTTGAAAAGTAGCGATACGGCAACCGCAACTCCCGTATATCCGCTCCCGAGGATCGCGACCTTGACCTGATGACTATCCGGGAGCTGATCTTTCTTATTCGTCAATAAATGTCCGACAGTGTTTGCTTTGTCACTGGTTGATGCTCTCTTCATCCTCAATTAACGCTCCCAACCAGTTACACTTCTCGCTCGGTTAATTGTTATTTTAATTGATCTGCTAGCTCGCATTCTTAGGTTATAAACTTATCATGCTCTGAGAATAAAATTTGGACACATGTCACATGTGAGTTATTCTACAGAATCGCTTAACTTCGCGTTACTCAAAATACTTTTATTAAATGGCTTATTAAATTCTGAGAAATTTAAACAAGTCTATCAGTACTCATTCATTTAAAAAATATTTTTTTCATTAACCTATCGAAAAATGAACAATACATGAATTTTAGGCATGTATTATGTAAACAATCGAAAAATTTTTTTAAATATCCTGAAACAAATTAAAGATTGTAGTAGTTTAATTAAAATCATAATTAATCAAATTAACAATCCTTATGCCTTATACTGCTTAATTTTTGTTCAAATTTCATGACTTATTTTTCGAAATATTCACTTGCATATAAAGGAATTTGGATTCGAATTTTACAGCATTTTTCATTAATATGCTCATTTCCAGATAAAGAAAGAATTGTTCAAATTTCATGACTTTTTTCCTCTATATCCAATTTTTAATTTTTTACTCAAATGGTTGAAGTTAAATGTCCATCTGAAAGTGAAGAAATTTTTCCTTTTGTGGGAATTTTTAAAGAACTGTCTAGTAATACAAATATTTTAGTCAAATTTAAAATCAAATTCAAAAATTCATTATTATAATACACATCCAGCAAAGTGGATCGCTGTAGATAGAATTGACTCATTCATTGATTATTAAGATGATTGCAAAACAAGTTAAATCAATTATCCAACAAAACTTATAACTAAAATTAACGATAAAGAATTTGAATAGAACGTGTTATGTATATAAAAATATCTTATTATAATAATGTTTATATTTATAATCCAAAGTTATAAGGCTAGGAGAGTTGTAGTTGCCGGGAAGTTGAAATCATTAGTCATCTTTGCTGGTTGCAGGCGACTAAAGGAAGCATCATTATAACTTATATCTTATAACTTATAAGCAATATTATTATAACTAAAAAGATCCTTGTTATGTGAACATACAAGAAAAGGAGGTAGACCCTGATTATCTGACACACGTGTGTATGCAGGTAATAGCTGATGTGGACTTTATTTGATGTTAACTGGAGTGTGGATAACAAGACATAATGGGATGTGTTGCCCGTGCACGGGCATGACGGGACGGGGTGGGCGATTTCGTTTGCGTCCCCAATTACTCGGTTCCTTGCAGGAAACTTACATGCCATGTTTATGTGTTATATGTTGGTCATGTCCATTAGCCAGCACTGCCAGGGAGCCAGGGAAACCATCAAAGCTTCCATACTTTTTGTTACACATATGCTTGTAATTGCTAATGGGTTCAGCTAATTTTCATTTCCTGTTGACTGTATCATAGGCCATTCAAATTTAGGGTCTGCAATTTTACTTTTTTTTTTTTTTCAATTTTGTGACTTTAGGTATTTATTTATTGAATTTTAATTTTATTACAATGATTGAAACATTAATTATTGGAATAGTATATTCCTTAAATTAATAAAAACTCTTTTATTTTATTTTAGTTTGATATTTTATTTAATTTTACAGAGAAAAGTTTTCTTTAAGTAACATTTGTTTGCCAGATTTTACTCCTTGATAAATGTATTTAAAACATAGAGACATAAAAGTAGGCATACTTTATTTTAAGTATACATGCTCTAGGCTCTAATAGTTGCATATAGAAACCAAATATTACTACAGAACACTTCAACCCATAGCTATAATAACATAGTATATAAGAGTTAGTCTAAAATGATTCTTCTAATCAAAAGGATGTACTCTTCGACTATTACTAAATAAGGGCACAACCTTTATGAATAACATAATCTAATAATTTATTTAAAATGAAAAGATCCACGTCCAATTATCCATATGATATGGCAGTTAATATTAAAATAATGTTTATGAGAAAGTATATGATTGAATCAAGCGACATAGGGGAAGGGGGGGGGGGGCAAAATGGGCCCCTTAAGATTGAAGTGATTTTTTTTAAGCTCTAAAAATCATCTCGTTGAATCAAAAACGATCCAGGGATAAATGTCGGAGTTATGTAAGAAAAAAACACTTTTTTCCAAATATTTTTTTCAGGATACCTCACAAACGAATCGGCCGATTTTGGTCGCGTTGACGGCGATCGACGCAGTTTTTTGGGCTTAAGGGCTGATTAGTTTTTGAAAACGATTGATTCAGCAGATTATTAAAATTTATTTGAAAAAAAAAAACATTTCCTGAAAATTTTATTTTCGAGATTACTTAAAATCAATTGGCCCGAATTACCTTAAATAGTTTAAAATATCTATGGGTAAAGAAACTCTTTCGATTGCTGTCTATCCCGTTTGAATCGGTCGAGCCGTTTAAAAGTTATGAGAGGTTTACGTTCATGCACGAAACACACACACACTCGCACACACACACGCACGCACACACACGCACGCACACACTCACTCACACACGCACGCACATACGCACGCACGCACACATGCACGCACAAACGCACGCACACATACACACACGCACACACACATACACACACACATCGCCATTATACCTCCCAAACACTTCGAGAGTTGAAAATGTTGGGGGCCCATTTTGCCCCCAAATATTTTGGATATTGAAAATTTTAGGGGGCCCATTTTGCTCCTAGGGGCCCATTTTGCCCCCCCCCCTCCCCTAATTATGTATTTGATACTATGACCCTTGGGAAAGAACAATTTAAACAATGTTTGACCTTGTTAGCTACCCCTGGATTTCCTGCTATTTTTAAGCTCAAAATGCTTGTTGCAATGTTTTAAGCTCTTTCGGCTCACCAACATAGTTTTTAAATACTTTCGAACCATCTTAAGACATGGAAGTCCAATAAAAACTCGACTTTAAAAATCGAAGTAGAATCAATTACTTGCCAATTTTCGAATTATTGTTTTTTATAGCAGAAACTTGAGAAGATCAGAAATCAAGAGTTTAGAGCAGTAAATAAAAAATTTAAGGGAATTCACAAATTTGTGGTGGAAGAACAATGCAGTAACTCTTTAAATTTTATTTTCCAACGAAAATATCATTGTCGTTAAGCTAGTAGCAACAAAATTCATTTTCAATGAATGTTATTAACGATTGTTCGGAGTCTAACTAAGAAACAAAATTACAAATAGAGCATCTTATTAATAAATTTTGTAATAAAAAGATATTCGCGTCGACGGACAGCGGAGTCGTCGGTCACCTCGTACTCTTGTCCAGGTCACCCAAAATGGATGAATTTGACAAATAGAGGACTTAAGAAGCGCTCTTAGCCTTCCAAGCAACACCCCAACTACAACCTAGACTGGGTTAGTGCACGTTTGGATGCCAGTTATTTTTTTTTTTTTTCCAGAGAAATAACAAACCTGTTGCTTCCAGGGCCAATCTGTAGGTATGTATCCGTGGGTAAAACCGACAATAGTGTTAGGAAAAAGAGAAAGAGTGAGTAAATAAAGAGAGTTTTAGGAAAAATAATATAAAATAAACAGTCAAGTTAATTCAATCATAAATAATTAATTAAACTGACATAGAAATTAAGACACAAACCAGCAGTCAGATCCAGTTAAAATAATTATTTATAATCTAAATTACTTAAATCTAAGTCCAGGGCCGAAGTCCTCAGTTGATACACTGTTTAACAATAATGTAGTTCGCAATTGCTTACAGCCTGTCACAAAATTCCGGCCTAATTTCTATGCAATTGGAAGTTGTGCGTTATATATTTTTGTACATAATTGACTTTTTGCTTCTACTAAAAACTAAAAAACAAGCAATCAGAAATCAGATGTAGTGTTATTTCAGTCTTGATCGCAGAATTAGATTCTATTAACTGATCACAAAAGTAGGCCTTTTTCGCCGGCAAATAAAATTTTTCAAGTGTTTGATAATAATGGCAAAGCGGATACATAACCTACGTGTAATCGATCGCCAGATGTTCTATTGCATGAGGAAGACTCGAAAGATTCTCATTTCCGATAAAACGAGTATCCGAGAACCCGCTAGTCCATTCAACGACTAATTCGACTTATTTCTGTTCAGTGCGGTATAAGGAAGGATGGAGAAGTAGATGGGGTTTATTTACTTAAACATACGTCCATATAGATGTGCATATATTGCATACATTTATTTATACAGAAAAAATGAAGAGGGAAGAGGGAAATATGATTGTAGATTGAATTACAAAAGATCACACAGGTCGTAAAAGCACAATGGGGAATAAATTGAAAAATAATAATGTAATAAATATCATTATAAAAAACATCAATATCAATATCAATATAAACATAAATATGATGCATGATGAAATTTGATGAAATATACATCAGTGATGATGATCATCATCATGATCATCACTGTCGTCGTTTTGGTCGTCGCGTGGTTCCATGAGAATCCCACATTCGCGGAGAACATTTCGGATTCCATCGGCGCATGCCTGCAAGTTAGTTTTCTCCGACTCGGTCAGCTTGTGTTTGACCAGTTGATGCACGCCGCCGGTTCCGAGAACACAGGGCATGGACATGTAGACGTCCTTGTCGGTGCCATGACTGCAACCCTGCAATATAAAAAAAGTTAAGCGTAAGCGACGCTAAATATCCTTTAAGTACTGGCTAAATAATATAAAAAGAAGAAAAAAAAACTGAGTATGTATAAGTGAATCGGAATCGGAATGGCAAGAAACACCAGTAGTCATCGATCGTGATCAATGATCCGCACTGTAAAAATTCTTACGTGAATATGTGTTGCGACTGGTAGCACGACCTTGGTATTCCTCAGAATGGCATCGACAATCTCGACGGTACACAATGCCAAGCACCAGCAGCTCGGTCCTTTCTCACCCTTTTCACCCGCTAACTTTGATTCCATCTCGCTCACTGAGCTTGTCACCTCATGCCACCGCTCAGGGTCATTTGGTTCCCCCATTTTTGGATTTATATCGCGCAGCTTTATCCCGGCTAAGTGAGCGCTCGACCAGACTGGTACTTTATTTATAATTTATGATATTAATAAATTATGCTGAAATGTCAATCTTGTCATTCAAGGGATCGTTTTTTTTTTTTTTTTTTTCCATATATAAATACTTTATTTTCTATTAAAAAATCAAATTCTTAAAAAAACAATTTTACTGAATTACGGATCAATTTTGAAGTTATTCATTAATATCCTGATTTTCAAATTAAGAAGAAATTTTCATCGAAATTAATTTTGTCGTCATTATTATCATATTCTAAATTACTTTTTTTCATATAATTGTTTTTTTTCGTGGTGTCAGGAACATTTTATTCAAAGAAAGAATGTTAAGGTAAAATACTCAATATACTTGAACACCGTAAAAAACGGGACCAATAATTGAACAGAATTTTTAAATTAATATTAAAACAAAATTTTAATACTTTTTATAAGTAATATCCGTATTTTAACATTATTTGTTGACTTAGTACTAAATTTTAAGACTCTCAATCAGTAAAAAAAACGGCATATGATCATTTTATGTAATAAAAATGGTACCAATAAATAAAATAGCTTTTTTTTAAATATTACATATTTTTTGCATAGCTAAAAAATATGATTTTAAAATTAAATTTTATCGTCTAAATACACCTCCCAATTTTCAAAGCTGTACCCGGAACTTGAACAAGCTAACGTCGCATGTTCAAATTTTGGTCCTTATGTTTTTTATAATTGCAACAGTATAGTTGAACATAGTCTACAAAGCCTAGAGAGTAGTGGTGTAATAGTAAACAATGTGGTTTAATTACTTTTTACCGATATAAACAATGTAAATATAATAATTTTATAATTTTGTTGGCAATTGATGCAACATAAACATAATAATTTGAAGTGAAAAGTTATTTATTTTGTAAAAATATAATTTTGATAGTACTGTAACCTATAATAGCTCATGTCACTAGTAATCAGCATTGAAATAATTATTCAGATTTAATAAAATTCACATGAAGAAGAAGAGTGTAATTAAATTAATTGAAGGTTTTATTTTATTTTTTAGAACTTTTCTGGTATATTTCAACAGTCAAATTCTTAAACCTAAAAATAATTTGCCGGAAAGTCTAATTTAAAGTGATAAAAAGAGATAAATAATTATTAAAAGTCTGTAATACTATAGATCACTGAAGAAAATTTATTACTTAACAAGAAACTAGTTAAATTTTAATGTTATTGAAATAAAAATAAAAATATATCATATACTTTTTATATCTTATAGATATTATTCATCTTGAATTATTTATAACAATCTTGTGATATATCAATAAAAGACAAATTTATTAGCTTTATATGCTATGCCATCTAAAATGCTAGGTTAACTACTGCTCCCGGGTTGTTCAACTACTATTGCATTTATAGTCTATCTTTAAAACCTTTTAAAAATATAAATATTTCATCATTTATGTTTTTTTACGCATTAATAAATTTAAAATTGTTTATATTTTTCATGAAAAACACTTTCTGTAACTGATAAATAAATTTTTATTCATTAAAAGTAGGATTGAATACGTTTTACTTTGAAAATTGTTCAACTACTGGGTATTTTACCTTATTAATGTTCGAGATTCATTTAAAAGTGATTTAAAAGTAATCGTAAAAGTAACAGTTGATACAACGTTATGTCACTAATAAGATCAGTTGGTCTTGTCAGAGGCTGTCAACAATTGGTTGATCCGGGTGATTGGTTTTATCAGTCGAAATCAATCATTAAATTTGAGAAACTATCGTAAAACATAAATTTTATCATCAAAAGATTAGCTATAATTATAACAATGTCAAATAAATTCATAAATTTTAGTTTTAAACATGATAAAAATTGTAATAGCCGTGTCTGTTAGTGTCAATTATTGACATTTTTATTACTGATTACTGTTAGATATCCTAAAATATAAATTTATTTTTTCACAAAAAAATTATTAACACCAAAAGCTGCAAGAACTTATTTTGCAATATAAATTTAAAAAAGTAATCTAATTTCTTCACCGCATTAACGAATGATCCCTTGAATGATCAAAACCTGAGATTGTAGCCCAAAATTAGGTCGTTGAATTTTACCTGATGAATCTCCCTGTGCGCCGATGCTCATGCAACAGACTGAAGTATTAGCGACTCCAAGTCTCTGACCCAGATGACACTGGAACCTCATTGTGTCGACAAGAGTCCCGGTACCGATTACACGATTCGATGGTAAGTTTGATAGCCGCCAGGTTATGTACGACATCACTTCGACGGGTCGTGTCGTAACAACCAACACTGCACGACCAGCGAACTTGGCTATCGCGGGTATTACCCGTTTGAATATTTCCAAATTAACTTTTACGTTGGGTGACTCTCCGGGTCCCGGTTCCCCCAGGGCGATTATCACCACCGCTGATTCTTTCACCATCGTCATATCTGCAAGCACCACATATTTAATAAAACACATTGTGTAAAATGTATATATACATATAGATAGATACAGTAAGGAGTGAGGACGGAGTTTAAGAAAAGAACAACGAGAGAATAAGCGCGACTTAATGAAGACACGAGTAGGAGATGAAGATATTCTAATGTCCTTACAACGGTATTTTGAAGAAGCAGTTAAGGATCCGTTCTTGTTCCATGAATCCCAACTGCTGTTACTATTTATCGGTCACCTCATATTAAAAATGGTGAGCCTTTTCCTCTTCCTCTCTATCAACAGGCAGCGTTCGGGCAACCTTGTTATTGGTAATCATCACCATGTTTGTCACGAACACGCGCTTACTATAAACGATCAATTTAAGGAGGTGCAGGACGGAGTATCCATTCTTAAGATTATCTTTTGGTATTGTATGTTCTATGGTATTGTTACAGAGAAAAAAATTATTCGATTCGAGAAAAGTTTTTTCTTGAAAATTTCGCTCTTGGTTCGACGTATTCAGTTTGGATTAATTCAAGAAGTTCACAAATTAAAGCAAAAAAAATTAAATACAGCAAAGTCTATTCAATAATTTTAGCAATTTTGATAAAGCATTTTACTATTTTTAAACAAGATACAAACATCTAGTGTTACTAATACCAATAGGGCGCATAAAAATTTTTTTCCCTAATCGCCTAAGAATGCTGGAAATGCAAAAATTCACTGCAATGATAAAGAGTAAAATTTTTTTGTGTATATGAGAAAAAATTTTGTTTTTTTAAATATTTCAGTAAATTTTTAAATTCTTACAATTCCTAACATTATTGAAAAAAAAAAAAAAAAAAAACAAAAATTTTTACACACTCTGTCGGTTTTGTAGAGAAATTTTTATAAAACGAGTTTCAAGATTAAAAAGTTTTGAATCAAGACAACCATCAGTTCTCTTTAACATAATTTTTTTGGATCAAGTAGTATTTTTTAGTATGTTATATCATAATACAGAAAGTATAATTTTTAGATATTTTTTATAGACAACTAATTATCGACTGTATACTATAAGCTGTAAAAACTTAATTATTTTTTCTTTCATGTTCCTTTCTGTATTATGATATAACTTATACTGGATGAACTTAACATAAACGAAAAAATAATTAAATTTTTACAGCCTAAAGTATACACTTAAGGTAGTTCACTTGAGATATATAATATAGTTTGTGCTATTGCTTTCCTATTAACTCGCTCGTGCTGCCTTTCTCATGAATTATCTCTTATTCGCTTTTACTAATAGTTATTTTTGTTTAACTAGCCAGTTTATTAACAATTTATAAAAAACTACATGGTATAAATTTTCAATATTTCTTTGGATTATTTTAAATATATTATTCTAACCGGTATCAGTTTTTTGAAATGATCTTAAAATCCTTTCAATGCAATAACCATAAATATTTGTGATTTTCTCACTCTCCATCCATACTGTCTCTGCTAAAATGTAATTTTTAATTACAATTATCTTATTTCTCGTATGGTGAATTGATTTCAAATTTCATTGCATTTATGACCGAGCTACTTTAATAATTAGTTGTCTATTAAAAAAAATATGTAAAAATTATAGTTTCAAAACAGAATTTTCACAAACTCTTACATCATATCCTGTGGAGAATTGAATCATTGGTAAACCAAAAGAGCAAACTTCGTAATTGTTTTGATTCATTATTTTTTTAAATAAAAAAACTACTTTCGTTGTTTCCTAAACTGAAAATGTTTTAATTTAAAATTATGTACTGTCAGTTTAATTTTTTTGTGAGGCTTGGTGTTGTATGAAAGCATCGTCCTTTGTAATTTATGAAAAAAAAATTATGAAATAATCGTAACATTATCAAGTTCATTAAATCATTAAAAATGACAGTTTATAACGTATCGATATAGAACGTTGTACGTAAAATTAAATGATCCGAACAATGTCAGTGTTTATTCCTATCATTATTGTCTTTCATATAAAACAACACTGATAAAAAATTTAACTTGATTCAAAAGAAAAAATCTTGAATCAAGAATACCATTTTGAAGAAAATAATTTTCTTGTGTCAAGAGGAAAAATTCTTGAATTGAGAATAATTTCTTCACGGTGAGAAATTTCTATTATTTTTTATTCTGCATGGATTTTTAATTTTACAATGGTGCATATTACTAGTGAATCTTATTGACTCAGAATAAAATTTTACAATGGCCTATAGTAATTTCCGAAACAAATGAAATCAGGCATAGCAAACGGTAGAAATTGAAATGTACCATAGTAAAATGAAATATGCAATAATTTAAATTTCCGAATGTACTATAGCAAAAAAATAAGAAAATGTTTGTAAAAAATAAAAAATTTTAGAGTAAAAAATATTTTTAGCAATCAAAAAAAATATCAAACCAAACAAGATTTTTTTTTTTGTTTGTAATAATTTTTAAAAATATTTTTTTAAAATATAGTTTTTTTTATTTGTTTTCTATTTTTAGTTTGAACGTAGGATTTATTTTGGCAATTAATTTTATTATAAATAATTATAAACACAATATATAACTTTTAAATTATTTTTTATAATAATAATAATAATAATAATATATTATTAGAAAAGTGTCGGTTGCAGGTTAACCATCGAATGTTTGTTTTCATCTTAATTTTTCACGTTAAATTGTTAAATATTTTATTATTTAGGAATCTTACAACAAAGCAGCACGAAAAAATGAAAGAGCGCGCGTCGCGACTGACGCGCATACGTTTACTATGGGACATTTGAAAATTTCATAGTCACAATTTTAAATTTAAATCGAGTGGACGTGACTAAATGTCAAATTTTTTTTATAAATTTTTATTGTCGACTGAACAACAGACATTTTACTATGGAACTATAATGAAAAGTTTTAAGCACACTCACAGTTTTTGTTTAGTCAGTTTACGAAAATTTTTTATATATGTTTATGTAACAGTTACATGGTCAAATTTACTATGGTATCTAGTAAATATTGATTGGTACAATATGATATTCTTAAATTTTTATGGTAATATTTTGAATTGAGTCATTAAGGTTCAGTCTTATTATGTATGCATAGTAAATTTCTACAGAAATTTCTCACCGTGTATCAGAAATAAATTTAAAAATTATAATTTTCCCATTTTTTCGCAAAAGCTAAATCAACCAATGAGATAAAGGAAAAGAACTCGGGTTTGATGGTTAAACCGAATGGTTTCGCATCTCTTTTTGGTTCTTATGTTTGTAAATACAAATAGCCATAAGTCAGTAAGACAAAGGTGAAATTTGTGACAGGTTATGGAGACTAAGAATGTAGATTAAGATATCGGAATATGTGTTGTGTCTTAATTCTCAAAGTGAAAACCTTTATAGTTTATTCTGAGAAAGCCAAAAATTATAAAGGAACGTGACAAACGTACGGGTAAAGGTGGCTAGTAATTCAAAGATATATCAAGAGATATTTATTTTTTGTCCCTAACAAATATTAAAGCCACTACACACACTGGCCAGGTATTATACGGTAATCTCTGAGCCGGCTGAGAAGTCAGTCTGGAGCATCTCGATCTTACTGGAGCGATATAATAGCCAGAGAGTGGAGAAAAGAGAGACAGTAAGGAAAAAAATATTTTAGGACTGAAATAGGGACTGGAAAGAGTGGTATAGAGTGAACGGTGAGATCTGTTGACGAGATTAGCACCGAGTAGTCCGATGCCGGCACTTTCGTCGAAGCTCCAGTCGTGTCCGGGCCACTGCTGTACTGGTAGTCTGTAGCTTCGATGTATAATAGTAGTAGGTATATAATAAGTATTAGCTGTCTTTGAGCTCCGGGATAACTCGAGGCGACGAGCGTGATCCGTCAAAGCGACCGATTTTGCACCCGTTGATATGATGAGTTAAATCACTTTTAAGTTATCTTATTTTCATTTTTATTTTATTAAAGTGATGAGTTGATTTTTATTTTACTGCTCGACACAGTTCCTTTGATTTAGAGTTGTAATAAATTTTATGGATATATCACTATTGTATTTTAACCAGAATTAAATACACCAAAATAGATGAGAAATTTTTTTTATAAAAAACTATAAGTTTGCAAAAAGTTCAAGAAATCTGCAAATTTAGGATATGTCCACACGGGGAGAAATATATGGAAATCATTCCTATAATTTTAATGAAATATTTTCCCATACCATTTTAAGAGCGATTACTTAAATTATGGGAATTATACCCATAATTTTTGGGAAATGTTACTATAATTATGGGAATGGTTCCTATAGTTATAGGAACGATACCTATAATTATAACTGTAATATCTGCATGATTCCCATAATATATAGGAATGGTTTCCATAATATATAGGAATAGTTTCTATAATATTATAGGAACCATTCCTATAATATTACGGGAACCATTCCCATAATATTATAGTGATGATGCCTAATAATATTGAGATATTTATCATTACATCTTAAGTTATTTGTGACTTCGATGACCATTTTGAAGCATTTGAAATTATTAGTAATTTCGATAATTTTACTTGCTTCTCAATAACATTATTTGAAATATGTAAAATAAGTAATATTGTTCATATAAATAATAAAAGTTACGTACTCAAAAGGTGGATTTAATAAATATTTAACGTATGTATTGTAATGAATTTCCATATCTATTTTGCTTCTCTATAATTGTATAGTGAGAAAATATCCCTTTTATTAGAGAAACTTTAGAATTGCTACAATATTTTTCAATATTATCTAACACAATAATAACTGAGTTGGAAGAAACAATTTAAGATTAAGTACACACGTGAATAAAAATTATGAAAAAGTAATTTTTTCACTCTAGTGAAAGATCAATTTTTATTTACAAAAAAAAAATTATTAGCAAAAAAATATATAATAATTACTTTATATTTTTGATGTGATTGCCTCATTATTATGAACATAAACATTTTTCGGTAACGGTCTCTTATTTATCAAGACAAAAATTCTTAGGTCATAATTTCTCAGTAATTAATTATCAGTTAAAAATTTATCAACGTCATAATTAATTATCGCTAAAATTAATCCTACAATAATTAATCCGATAAAAATTTCTCATGCAATAATTAACCGCGGGGTCCGGGGTGAGGTCCCGGTGGGGGTTGGGAGGTGAAGCCCCTCATTCACAAAAAGTAATCGAGATTCGTCGCGAAGCCTTAGAGGGGTCCAGGGCGGAGCCCCGGTGGGGGTTGGGGGGCGAAGCCCCCCATTTGAAAAGAAATAAATTATAACGATACATAAACAAGACCCCCATTCAAAAAAAGTAATCGAGGTTCGTGGCGAGGCCTCAGAGGGGTCCGGGGCGAAGCCCCGGTGGGGGTTGGGGGGCGAAGCCCCCCATTTGAAAAGAAATACACATCCAAATCGAGTAAATACACATCCAAATCTTGTTAAATGAGCGTTACATGATTACGTGCGTATGTGTTGGCATTTTTTCGAGTAAATACAAATCCAAATCTTGTTAAATGAGCGCTACATGATTACGTGCGTATGTGTTGGCATATTTTTGAGTAAATACACATCCAAATCTTGTTAAATGAGCGCTACATGATTACGTTCGTTCATGTTGTACTCCAAGATTGAAAATTGAAATGTTTGTTTTATGAGAAATTTTCATGAAGATATATTTTTGTTTTATGAGAAATTTTTGTAAAGATATATTATCGTTTTATGAGAAATTTTCCGAAAGATATATTTTTGTTTTATGAGAAATTTTAGTGAAGATTCTTTTTAGTCACGAGAAGTTATTGTGCCGGATATATTTTTGAATGATAAATTATTGCTGAGAAATTTTAGCTTGAGAAATAATTACCGATAAAAAAAGACATAGAACCACATTTTTCTATTATTATGTGCGTCATTTCCATAATATTATAGGAACTATTCCTATAATATTATAGGAACCATTCCTTTAATAATACAGGGACAATTCCTATCATATATTAAAGCTATTCTATTATTGTGTAGGAATGTTTCCAATAAACTATGGGTATGGTTCCCATAATGAGCATAGGATTGATACCTATAATGATCTGGGGATTTGGAAAGGTTCCTATAAATTTGTCTCCGTGCACGTTTAATCTTGAGCAACTTTTGAAATTATAAATTTATCAAAAAATGATAAAAAATCTTTATTTTAGTTCGTCCAGTTTCTTGAAAAAATATATATTGAGTTTGAAAAATTTTTTCTTATGCTATTCAGGAATTATGTGACACAATCGCAAGATAATTTGGAAAAGAAAAATTTGTCAGAATTTCTTTTGTTAATTTTCCTTTTCTCTTCTTGAAAAAAATAAAAAATGTTTTCCAAATAAATAAGTTTATGAACTTATTAAACAAGCTTCAAATTTCATGTTTATTTATTTTCCAAGGCTAAAAATTACTCATCTGTCTACAATGGTAAAAAAATAAACCGATCTGTTTTACCGGTCCTGAAAGTTTTTGATTGCTCTAAAAAATCTATTTCTATTTCGGCTGCCGAAAGTCCTACAAAATGAAAACAAGTGAGTTTAATATACATTAATGAAAAATGTACATTCTCCCGGATTAACTTAACCGAAGAATAAATTAATAACAATTAGCGGCAATGGAGGGTGATCGCCTCTAAGTAGTAATAAAAATAACCTCAAAAACAGGTGAAAGAAATTTAAGTGTTTTGTCTTAGTGTCGATAAAACATTTGGGGAATCCTTACCCGCTGTACCGGTGATCAGAGGATTACCTAAGAAGATGCCTGCGTGCCGGATGTCCTCAGCTTCGGCCTCCGCTCTTACCGCATTCTTGTCGATCAGACAGACCTCGCTTGCCATTCTCTGTAAATTTAACCGACAGATTAATTGCCGTAATTATACACCAACATTTAGCTCATTTTGTATTTTGTATTTCGTATTTTTTTACGAATACTATGCAGTCGCATTAAAATAATGTTAACTCCACTACCCATTACCCATTACATTAACTTAAATAAATGCTTATGTAAGCTTAAGTAAAACCGATCAAGATGACGGTCACCCTCATGAGAATCGCGATCGCACAGGCGACGCCGATCTTTCCCGCGCCGACTATCGACACCTTCACACGGTGGGGATAAATATCCGAGAGATTCTGGTGGGTTGTTATCAAGGCATTTTTTGTGCTCGTTCTGATCGGCTCCATCCTCTCTCTTCTCTCCTCGGGGTCTGACTCACCCTGAAAATAACATTCCGCTGATGTAGTGAGTCGTTAAATATTTTTATAAAATAAAATAAAAATTTTTTGCAGTAAAAAATTTTCCACATTATTATTATTTTTTTTTATTTTTATAATAAAAATAAATTTTTGGCTTAAAAAAAACCCTTAAGTAGTGTGTGAAAAAAATTTTTAATCGCAATGCGCTTACCGTGTCTTCTTCGGTATTTTTATTGTCACTTTCACTGAGACTGTCCATCGCAACTAAGCCCTGCATAAAAAATAAAAGAATTATTTTTGTTACTTTATGGCCTTATAAATAATAATAAAATAAAAATAAAAATTTTAAAAAAGGGTAGGCCGTAAACTGTTTGAGTGAAAATAGTAAAAGGGTTTTCGGATGTCTGGCATAATAAACATAAAAATAAAAGCAAACATTTATATTTTAAGGTAAAGAGAAAAAGCTTAGAAATGCTAAAAAGTACGTTGTAAACGAAACCCCGCGGAGATTACCTGGCTTCTTAGCGGGTTTCCTCGGGTAAATTTACACTCAAGGGCCGTCTGATCAGTAAATCATCGGTCAGGAAAGTACACAAGGGACTAATGCGATGAGAGGTTCATTACTTCCTTGCTAGATTCATACCAAATAAATAATATACTATTTTCTTTATGATTCATAACCTCCACTAAATACAACCGTAATTTAAAAATCATACCTGTAAATAACTTCAATTTGTTTGCATTCATACTCGGCAAATTCATGTTATATTACGGTACGTCGGGTTATATTATATCTTATGGCTTACGGCTTGAGTTGTTGGATTTAAGGGCGTGCTTTATGGATTGTGACTGAAAAATTCTATGATTTTTTGAAAAATAATTTTAATGTGTGTGCTGAAAGAAAAACTCGAATTAAAAGATAAATTTTCTCTCTCTCTAAAATTTGGTTCTTATTTCGAAATATTCAGTTCGAATTTTTTCAAGAAATTTTTCATGTTCAGATCTTGAATAAAAAAAAAAATTATGCAAAATGTTTGAAGAATTAAATAACAATTGAAATTGTGATAAAACGTTAAAAAGAAAAAGACCACTTGCCGAGGTGCAGAATCGCTGTTGAAAGGGAAGAACCTCAGTACACTTACTTGTAGGATTATTCAGTTATATGTTGCAATCAATTAAAAAATCAATCGAAAACATCCTCATAATTACTTATGGTCGTTATAATATACTCTCTCTACTCCGGCAGTATTAAAGCAAACGGGGTGGTCCCCATTTGTCGAGACCAGTTTCGAACAAGTCATGTCGTGGATGGGCCTTTTGCGTTATGCAAATCCCCGTTAATTCCGCTATTTTTTATTTCGTATTTGCTATATATACCATTATTAATTCGAGCGCTTAAATTAATTGTCAATTCCATAACTCAGTTCCTGTCCCGCGGGTCAAAAATAATAGGCCCACTCTCGAAATCCCAATTCCAGTCCCAGTACGACCCTCCTGACGCTCTAATCCTCAGCTAAGTAAATCCTCGGTACCCATCCCAAGCCGGTCTTAATTCAATATTCCGCGCGATAAATAAAAATAACAATAATAATAATAATAATAATAAATATAATGGTTAAACGTTAATTTCGAGAGTATAAACAAGGAGTTAATTATATTTACGACGTTATAAAAGGATTAAGGGAGCCGATAAAGAGTTGAGGAATTTATGTAAGGCCCATCGATAATCATCGGAAGCGCCGTCGTATTTTTTTACGGGCATATCCGATCGCGATCGGCGAGCTCGCACCCAACAAGGCCTACCTCCCTCGGTGCCGCCTTTTTTACATCGCACGTGATATTCCCAGGTTATATTCACTCGAACAAATCTAATATACACACATACAGACATACAGACATTAATACCTACAAGACACAAGACTAAACTGATGCACCCGCATCGCAGTCGCGGTCGATTGGAAGCTCTGGCATTCAATTATTCCCGTTCGATAATTCGCCAAGACAAAAATGACCACGTCAAAACGTTAAATCCCATTCATCAGACTCACGGAGCGATCGATATTGCGAATGCACCTTTAACGACCTCGGCAGCTCCTCCACGGGCGATACAATCTTACCACCTTGCACGCCAAAGCTACTTCTTCTTCTTCTTCTTGGTCTTCTTCTTCTTCTTCTTCTTTATTCTGTACCTGCCCAAGCCAGGATTTGGTCTTGCTCTTGCTCTTATTATCGAAAACTCTTCATTCTTTTCCTCTCTCTTCTCTTTTCCCTGCATACATATATTCCATCCCGCGAACTTATTGAATCTCGTCAAATAATATACGAGCCAATAATGTACGAATAGTGCTGCAATTATGGCTTATCGATCGGTATCTAAACGGATGCCTTCGTAATTTAGTAATCCTCGCTTGCATCCAAAGTATCTTTCATTCTGACAAAACCTTTTTTTATTATTCCCCCGATCTTCAGTCTATATGCGCATACACCCAAGCATATTTTATTTTATTTCTTTCTTTATATTTATAATATTATTCTTTCCTCGAGGCACTCGCACCGGCAGCGACCCCTAAAATAAATAATTGTGAATTGAAATAAAAAAAATAAACAATGATAGTGATAGCATCTAAAACCACAACTCTAAAGATGATAGAAATAATATTTTTGATTTTACTGGACAAGATGATGTGGGGCTTTATGAAATTTATTTTAAATCTGATTTGTAAAAAATTTGAGAAGTATAATTGAAAGTAAAAATAATAATAGGTAACTTACGTCTGCAGGGATGGTAGCTCTGATAAAGAGAGCCAGTTGTTCAGCTCTGATAAAGAGAGCCAGGTTGTTCAGTCAAGAGAAAAGTTTGTACTGGTCTCAGCATCGTTTGACAACGAGACTCACGTAGAATTCCAGGACAAAGGACATCGAGATCGACTCGTTCAAATTGCCGAAATAGTAACGTACCTTTTCGAATATCTTATCAAACAATTAAACGTAAAAATTATTAACAATGATTGCTAATGACAAATCTGATAAAAATTTCCGAGGACTTTTTTTTTTTTTTTTTTTTTTTTTTTTTGGAGGACGTTATTATTGATAACAGCATGGATGCTTTAAGTGGATCGAAGTGATTCCATACAGTACGAAAAAAATACTAAATTTTTGAATGGTGGGTGATGTAATTAATCTTTTTAATTTATTTATTTTTAAAAATCGTCTTGATGATTTTAAAGAACTCAGCTAAAGGTCTAGTTTAATTGACGGTTTCAATAAACAATATAATATACCTCTGTTGTTTCTCATTTAGTATACATATCGATAAGTCAACTCCATCAGGCAGTAGAGAAAGAGGTAGACCAACAATTTCCGCCATATCAAATTGTACACACAGACAGAAAAATTTCTTGACTGGAGAACATAATTCTTGATACAATAAATTTGTATTGAGAAAAGTTTTCTCTTGAATATTTGATACCCATTTTATATTATTTTAGCGTGCAATTATACATATTGAATGAAAAAAAATGATTCAATATTATTTGATCTTCCCATTTGACATGTTAATCAATAAAAATATTAATGAAAATTTACTTTTATCGAGATATTTAATTTTTTCGAGCAAGAGAGAAATTTTCTCAAGACAAGAAAATTTACTTTTATCAAGAACTAAATTTTTTAAAGCAAGAGGCTGAATTTTCTCAAAATAACAAGATTTTCTTGATTTAAATAAATTTTCTTGGATAAAGATACGTATTTCTTAAAGCAAAAGAATTAATTTTGTTGAAATAAGTGAAATTTTTTGTGTCAAAAAAAATTTTTTTTTCGCTCAAGAAAATAATTAGGAAGAAAAATATTTTCTTGGCTCAAGTGAACTTTTTTTTCTGTGCAGACCCTTGCCATCTGAAACGATTGTATATATTTTCGTCATGATTATTATTTATTTATCTAAGATTATTACCCACTTTTACTCATTACTTATACAAGTTTCTTCGGTAAATAAATTCAAGCTTTAACGTGAACCGGAAATGATTTAAGTTGATTGAAATGATCTATATTATATAATCCAGGAAAGATTTAATCACATCATTAACAGGCATAGTTGGGCATTCCATCTTTTCTTGAGTGGCTGAGTTCTCAGTACAGTATACTATCAAACAATTCTCGTCAGACTGCTCCAGATAAGTCGGTTAACAAGCCTACTAGTAAGTAGAAGAGTTAGTCTAAGGACGTGGAGGTGCCACTTATGTATATCTTTTCCTCGTTCGCGGAACTCGCGATCGGGACAGAAACAAGTATCAAACTAAACCATCCGAGAAGCTGCCGCACCAGAAGAAGAAGAAGAAGAAGAAGAAGAAAACGAAGAGGATGAACATAGTATGCACAGAGCATGGGTTGCTTGGAGACTGTCTTATGGATATGCCATTCTGGATGGCACAATACCACAGCGGATAGTACACGTTACCTCGCACACGGAATTTTAATTGGCTATTTGTTGGTGCCCCTGTAGGTTTTCGAGCTACTTGGAGAGCCAGACCGCTTAGCTATTGTTCTCCTGACTGGCTCTGACACCAATAAAAGAGAGTGAACAGTCTATCGGCGAATTCATACATAAACCCCCATGATCCGCGGCCAGTAGCATCTGAATCTTCTCTTCTTATTTTTATTTTTATTTTTATTTTATTCATTTTACTCTTTACTTAGAAACTACAGAGAACTATTCCGCTAGTAGAGTCCAGTCTCCAGTCAGATCCTTAGCTTGTTTATGCCAGCAAGTGCGTAAGCGCGTTTATCTAGTGCGCCCGTCACATAAATTCCTATTCCGACAAAATTATATACTTTTAAAAACAATCGTGCCAAGAGAGAATATCATTTTCCTCAGGTTCTTATTCTTAAGCGCCACGGCAAGTGTAATGGGAAAACCAATGGACACATAAATAACCCTCTACATCTCTCTATATAACTCTCTTTTAAACTTCTCACACTCACATTCACATTCACATTCACGTAGGTACAAGGATATCCTCCGTATGTTTGTATTATACTTCCACAGTAAAAAATTTATCGTCATTGTGAAAATGTCAGTGTTAAATATTTAAGCCCCGTGGAAAAAAATGGCATAAAAAGTATCTGTGTGATGGAAAATAAAAATATATTTTTAATCACTAACTTTTGGCGGATTTTCGTATATATATTGAGTATAGGTTAACTAGATTGAATACATTAGAAATATATCTTGGAGATATAGAAGAAATATATTTCACATGGATGAAATAATTT